ATCCTTTCACCGCGCGATTAAGGAAAATTCGAAAAAAAAGAAAGGCTTTACGTGGTTCCTCTATTTGTTTACATTGGGCGTTTCTTAGATACTGTCTAATATTTTGGGAGTTGATTTTTGAAGTCATTTTATGAAGAAAGGTTCATGTATCATTTCAAACTTCAAAGGCCTTATTTCTGATGACAGAATGTTGAAAGTTCAATAAATAACATTATTGTTCTTTCACTGTTAAATTATACCTATATAATTTGAATTCTTTTCAATCGTTCCTATAGGTCGCCACTATTTCTACTCAATATGTCGTTAATTTAATTGAAACAATAGAGTTAAACAATTTAATTCAAGAAATGTATTCAGTCCGGCCTCTAAATTTGGTTTATCGTTTACTAATTATTACATTAACATGAACGTTGTTTACTTTGAAACTAAGCAATTTTATCATAGAAATGGATCGATTTATATTTCAACATGTGGAAGTTAAAAATAATAAGACATTGTTTATAACTCAAGAAATCGGGTCGCCATTGCTCTTTTTTGAAATCTAACTTCTTCTAACTTCTGCTAACTTTTAACACGCGATTTCAGGACCTGAAGAGGTCGATCATCGACGATGGCGTGACGATGGTGGTGAGCAACATAATAATACCTCACAGCGGCTGGGACCCGAGCTCGTCGAGCGGCGAGACCTGCTGGTCCACCGTGTTCAGAAACGCGTCCGGCGTGCTGAGGAACGTATCGAGCGCGGGCGAGTACGCGCGGAAGAACCTGCGCGAGTGCGAGGGCCTGGTGGACGCGCTGCTCTACGTTGTGCGTTCCGCGATCGAGAAGTCCAACATCGGTAACAAGATCGTCGAGAACTGCGTGTGCATCTTGAGGAACCTGAGCTACCGTTGCCAGGAGGTGGAAGACCCGAATTACGACAAGCACCCGATTCAGTCCACGGTGCAGAACAGAGTCACCGCACCCGCGAAAGGTGAGCCCAGGAAGTGCAGTAGGGGAACTTGTTTGGAAGGAGTCGATGCGCGACAGCGGTCTATATATTTCTTTTCTTTCTCTGCCTTCTTCGAGAAGGAAGAAAAGAAAAAAAAAGAAAAAACTCGAGAGAATTAATCTAACTTTAATTCAAATTTAAGCTGCACTCTTAATCCGATTGAAAGATAAAAAAGTAGAATTGTTACGTATACAAAAACAGTTTTAATTTATTAGGTGTACCTTATTTTTAATTTATTTTCACTTCTTTTTTTTTTTTTTTTTTGTTTTTTCATCACGACTGATTAACACATAAAATCACGGTAAAAAATTCTCGCATTAGAGGTTTTGATTTTGCTAGAAACATGGAAATTGGGAAACGCGAGACGCGTTTTTATATCTTTCAGTCGGATTAAGCTCTTAATTAAATTAAATTAATTAAATCAATAAAACTTTCTCATAAGCTCTTGAAGAATTGATCCGCGCTAAATTCCTCGTATCGAGAGTGACGCGAAGACAAATGTGCAATCGGGAAATTATTCTATAATAAAAGTGCAATAAATTTGCATAGATAACCGTGAACGTGCAACGTAGTACTTAATGGTGTACTTTACGAAGAAAAATAAATTGCGAAGATAGAGGGATATCTCGAGCGTTGCTTTTGGACCGAGTATGTTTTCCCGCAACATGCACGAGTCTCCCTCGGTATGCATGTAGCTGCAGTCAGAGCGTGTGTGTGTGTGTGTGTGTGTGTGTGTGTGTGTGTGTGTGTGTGTGTGTGTGTGTGTTTGTGTGTGTGTGTGTGTGTGTTTGTGTGTGTAAAGATTGGGTGGGACAAGTGAGGAGAGGAGGTAAATGATTCACCCCTTAAACCAACCATGAAATTAGATCGGAGGGGACATGCAGCTTCCCTGTTGCAGACACTCTTCCATTGTGCAAAACTATCGCGACGTCGGCCTTTAAAAACAGTTAATTATCTCGCGTTAAATTCAGACAAAATGATTCGTCGAGATCTCTTATTTTTTTCACTGTCGAGTTTGATTCGATTTTTCAAATCACATCGTCGCGCGCGCGAACGTTCGGATTTTTTTTTTTTCCCCCATAAAAACCTTCGGAAATATTTACGTGCGAGTTGTTGAAATATTTACGATTACATTTACTCGAAATAAGTAACATTGGCCCGAATGAAATTGTACCATTAATTCTCCCACTCGCGTTTCACGGACACGAAGCCCGCTGATATTTTACGGGCGCGTAGTCGGTAGTTTGTAGATAGTTAGTTTACGTAGCGTATTAAATTTGATTAAAACTTCCGAGCCGGTTTACCGGGGTGAGGTAGCGCGAGGACGAAATTTGTATCGCTTCGTAAACCGTAAATAACGCACTTAGAAAAGTGGCGAACTAGCAAAACGTTGCAATTAAGGGTAGATGATTTGCTGTAGATAGACAACTGTACTCACAATCTTCTTCCGCAATTAATTCATCCCAGACTGTCCTTGGTTTCGATTTAATTTGCCTTTTACTAGTTTCAAGACGGATGGATGTATACAGTGTGTCCAGAAATCCGTTCCCATACTTCAAATGTGACACAACTAAAAAAAAAAGATTTTAGAGTTATTATCGAGAATGAAGTAGATGATATTATCTAAATTCTTTTGGAATCTCACTTTAAGGAATGAAAAATGAGCTCGACTATAGAAAAACAGTTCAATTTTCAATCTTTAAAAAGTGAGATTTCACTCTTCAGAAGAGTGAGATTCACTCTGAAAGTTTTAAAAAGTAAAGATTACTCTATCAATCATCAAAGTAAACTAACTTAACTTCACAGTCCGTCCGCCAAATAACTTGTGTCGTTCTTTAGGTTTTTAAAGAGATCATAATATCTTTTATAAGAATGATACATTTGAGTTGTCATTTTTGTAAATAAAAAGAAAATTTCTACGGAGAACACATTTGGAGTTAAGACAGTTTTGATAATCAAAGTTTAAAGAAGAAATTTCTTCTTTTAAATTCATTTTAGCTGATAAATATAAACTGTCGGTGATATATTTCGAGATAAGTCACTTTTCACAAATTATTTCTGGATCTGTTATAATTTTGTAGAACATAAAATGTTACAACTAAAAAGAAGGTGATTTTTAAAGGCCGTGAAAATGAAAATAACTCTTGAATATATTTTTCTTGCCCATATTATTTGATTAGTCGATAAGAGAGTTTCAAGTTAAAAATAGTTTTACCCCTTTTCTAAAAAACTTAATTTTTTGAATTATGTCACTTTCGAAGTAGGGGAACAAAATGTGTATACTACGACGATGATCCCGTATACTTTTGTATATCTCTGTCTGTATTGGTTGAGTTTTCCGTCCTTCTCTCTCTCTCTCTCTCTCTCTCTCTCTCTCTCTCTCTCTCTCTCTCTCTCTTTTAGACAACAATTATACGTATGTCCTAGTTGAACACTTAAAGAGTTTTTTCTTCTTTTGATTCATTTTGGGATTCCGTTGACGAATCACACAGATTTTTTATGAATCCTAGCTCAGCATGGATTAAACTGTGTTTCAATCTTTTTAGCATACAGTTTATGTCAAGGTAAGCCCCCTCTTGCAATTCCATTGGTAAATTAGTTTCCGTTTCGAAGACATATAGTTATTGCATGCTTTGCCTTGCCAGATCGTAAGCCGACTACGTTACATTATATATTGAGTTATGAATTTATATTTTCCCTATAAAAATAATTATTTCTTTTTTCTTTTTATTTGATGTTGTAACCGCTATGTTCTTAGGCGATGATTTATACTTCTGTATACACTGTCTATATATTTGCAAAATTGACCAAAATTCCGAAACAAAATTGACCGACAATGAACAAATTCAGCGAGCTTGCTGCGAAGTTTGGCATATGGTTTACAATTTCGTTTCTAATTTCGTTTATTACGTAGATAAATGGCTCGTTTAATTTAGCAGGTTAGTTAGAAAATTTAGAAGTGTGTAATAGGCGCCTTAGGAAACACGAATACGCGAGTCGCACTTTTCTCGATATCGCTCAATGTTGCTCGATGTTTCACCGACTTGCTGTTGCAAATACCTATCGCGAAATAAGGAATCTTATAGAAAGTGATTCGATAATTGGACACAAATCAATCTGATTCCGAATATCAAAACTTAATGTGACATTTGCCTCTTTGATTTCGTAATATAATCCCAATGTAATCCCTGACGGCTTATTAATACGGATCCTCTATAATTCTGCTCTAGGTGAGAATCTGGGTTGCTTCGGCGGCAGCAAGAAGAAGAAGGATGGCCAGCCGGTTCAAAAGGAGACCACCGCGTCACGTACGACGAGTCCGCGGACCGAACCAGTCAGGGGAATGGAATTGCTCTGGCAGCCGGAAGTGGTCCAATCGTATCTTAGTCTCCTGCAAACGTGTTCGAATCCGGAAACGTTGGAGGCTGCTGCCGGAGCCCTGCAAAATCTCGCGGCTTGCTACTGGCAGCCGAGCATCGAGATTCGCGCGGCCGTGCGCAAGGAAAAAGGTCTCCCTATATTAGTGGAGCTCTTGAGAATGGAGGTAATTACATGGTGTCGAACATTTAATTTAGCGAACACGCAAAGAGAACCCACGCGATTATAAAATGCAGATGTTAAATTAAATTATAAATTAAATAAATTAATTCAACTACTTAGATTATATTTGGACTGCCTCAATGGAATATTATCCAATATTAATCTAATTACTTTACTTATTGTATTTTCTCCATTAGTCGTACGAAAGTACTGTTCAAACTGACGCTTGTTCTAATTTCATATCTATACAATTTCTGATATCTAATTTTATATCTTATGCTTTACGTTCTATACTTAAAAAATTCCAATATTTGTAGAAAGTTATTGATGGATAGTACATGCATTAATTTTACTGCAGTAAATAACAAGAAAATATCTTTTTTTTTAGTTTCTGATATTTATGTTATTTTATCTTAAGTTAGTAATGTATATTTAATACGTATTGATAAGATTTAATATTTATAACTCTGTGAAATGCGTAAAATTTAATATTGTGACCATAAACATTAGATTAACGTATTTTCTGTGACTAGGTGGACCGAGTAGTCTGCGCGGTCGCAACCGCGCTCAGAAACTTGGCGATAGACCAACGCAATAAGGAGCTAATAGGCAAATATGCAATGAGGGATCTCATCCAGAAGCTGCCGTCTGGAAATAATCAGCACGATCAGGGCACAAGCGACGACACGATTGCCGCGGTGCTCGCGACTCTAAACGAGGTCATCAAGAAGAACGCCGAGTTCTCGCGGTCATTGCTCGACGCCGGCGGTGTCGATAGACTGATGAACATCACCAGGCAACGCCAGAAATACACGCCGCGCGTTCTTAAATTTGCAGGTAATATTTCGAAACCGTATTAAAATAATTATCCGATAATATGCATCGTTAAAACATCAATAATCGATTTAATGAATCAGCCAATTATATCAATAGATAGAAATTATTCTATTTATGCGTATTTTTAGGGCAAGTACTATTCACTATGTGGCAACATCAAGAGTTGCGAGACGTGTACAAGAAGCACGGCTGGAAGGAGCAAGACTTCGTCACGAAAACCGTTGCCGCCAGAAATTCAGGGCCTAATTCACCTAACAACGCTAACAGGTAATTATCGCTCATAATGGAGCAATAAATAAAATTAGGTATATACATATATAGGATAGTTGCCGCAATAATGGATAATTGAAATATTGAGATGGCAACATAATTATTAAATTTAATTAGTATTTATATAATTAAAACTTACATTAAGTTACAAATGTAGAGACGGTGGGATAACATTTTAAATTAATTTTTTGTTATTACAAGTTGGCTATCTTTCTGTAATTGTAAATAAACTTTATTTCTCTAAGTTTTATTTACAATTCTTTATTACAAATACCGAAAATATTAGAATGAATATGTTACCGTCATTAAATTAAGTTTATTTATTTTTTCTAAGTATGAATTTATTATTTTCTGGTAATTTGATTTCTGGGACTCCGCTTATTTTTTGTTTATGGTTTATTCGTGTTTTGTCGTGTGAATTCACTTAGTTCGCGGTATTTACTGCGGAGTCCTCATTCTTTTCTCTCGGGCAACTCGATTCTACGTTAAAATGTAGCTACGATTGCAGCACTCTGAATCGACCGATGGCAAGCCAGGGAAGCACAAGATACGAGGATCGAACGATCCAACGAGCGAACATGAATTCGAATAATGTCGGTCGACCTACTATATATCAATCAGTAAGTAATAATAACTAACAGCATCACTAAAATAAATATACGCCGCGTAGATACACATCATAGGATGAGAAAAGCGTACTCGAAGCGTAGGAAAAGAAATCACACGTGCACATTATATATGCAATCTGAGTCGTCGGTCTTACGAAAAAGTTTACTAATATTTAGTAAATAAGAAAAAAGCAACGATTTTTGAAAAATAATTATAAAAAGATCTCACTTTTAAATGTGAAATTGCATTTAATGATACCGCAGATTTGCAAATTTTTCTACATTTTTATATTTATATTTCACTCTATGTGTACGTATTATTATTAAATTGATTTACCACAAATTATTTAATGTGATAAGAAAAGTAATTAAAAATTTACTAATTTGATAACTTCTTTCATAAGACCGACGAAGTATTTCATCCTATTAATCTCGATTCGTTGCCATGATAATTTTCTAATATTCACGTCGTTATACAGATTAGAATTTAAGAATAGTCTTTCGACATGACTTCCTTGAACACACCAGATGGATCGTACACCAATAAATAATTATATTTAACTTTGTAGTTAGTGTTTACTTAGGCTCGCAAAGTGATACAAACGCGACAAAGACACAATTGTGTACCTATGTACGATCGACGCAACTTTTGGCGCAATCGATTGTGCCAAAAAGAACAAACATCACTCCGTAACTTTTAATTGAACATACATAGCCATTGTAATTTGCGTGCTAAAACATATACGATCGAATTGCATGATTTATGATTGTCTTCCTACAGTTTAGATGATCTTGTAAGATTTCCATTTTTATCGCGCTTTCCATAAGATAGATGCAACAGAAAATTGTATGCATTAGAATGTTTTCCAAATTCCAACGAACATTTCTAATAAATGTTACTATGTCGAGTTAAAGATTAAAATTAGTCGCCATATGTAATACCGTGTTCATTAATGCGAATCTGGTTGTACAAGAATCCACATAAATGTTTACGCAACATTCACGCGAGTTAACGCACGAGACCGGACCAAACTCCCACCTTTTAATAACGCCGCGTAGCTACTTTCTAAATCCTGAGACTTTTTGCACGGTTTTCATAACGATTTTCCAACTTGCTAATTAATTTAACTAACTGCGCGAGAGGAGGATCTCTAACGCGTAATGTAATCTTAGGAACGCACCGAGCAGTGTTGCTACTAACGACTTTAGGTCTAAGCGAGAATACTCGAGGTATTCGCATCATGTTGTACACTTTTGTCTCCGGAACAACGCACAAATTTACACTAACAATGAGGAGCTATGGCTGACGTGATCACTGCCTAAACGAACACCCTCACACCGTCACTAACGATGGCAATTATTTTGACTTCTAGCGTACAATGAGAAAGCGGTTTCACATACATACACCGATTGATTATCGAGAAAAAGCATTTGTATCGAGCTAGGAAGCGATTTCGATTTCCTATGCATTTTTCCAGTGCCCTGCTAGTTTAGTTATATTTTATTATAGCGAGGTATAACACGCATTTACAACTAAATTATTACGTAGCCTATATAGTCTGTACTGTATACCCGATTTTGTATATAAGCTTAGAAAGTGATTATATTAATCTTGTATACGTAAGTTACAATACACAGAATATAATTATTATGGGTGTCCGCACGCCATATACGCCGTACTAAATTATTATCCCTTCAGTACGCCGTTCCATGAAAATTTATTTTGATGATAATACTATTGAATATAAAGCCTAACGGAAAATCACGTCAAATTGTTTAACTTGTTGATGATGTAGGAGTGTAAATTGAAAGACTTTTTATAAGGGAAGATTTCATTTTCGTAACGCTAGAACATTCACTATAAAAAATATGGGTGTAGATTTAACATGTGTTTATATAATTCTCATGATATTGGTGTTGTTATAAATGTGAAGATTTAATACTATGGGTTCTAAGGATGTATTACATGTATGTTTTTTTTTTTTTTAATAAAATAAAATTATGAAAAAATTTTCAAATTTTTTTGTTTTACATTGTATTTGAAAGTGTACAATAAGTTTGGCGGCGATTTAGAATTTGGTTACAAAATTATTTCAATAAGTAGCGTTTTTAAAAAATGATTAAGATAAAACGAGATAAATTTTATTCAAACGATAAAATTGTATTTTTAAATATAAATACTGTCCTTATTGAACTGTTTCATATGTTTATAATATTCATTTTTATACAGGAAGTAAATTTCCAATTCCAGTCACTTTTTGCAGACACCTACACCTGGTTATATCCTTAAATCTACTGTTTTTATACAAACACCAACACGGTGAGAATTATATAAACCGCATGATGTTAAATCCACACTTATTTTTCAGAGTGTTTGTAGAATCCTATTTCGCATTTGCATAAAAAAGCACAATAAACCTTCTCTTAGATTAAATATTATTATATATAATTTTGTAGCACACGTACACACATATACACACGTATACACAACACACGCGATTTCATGTGCGACTTTATATCATCTGTGTATCTCAGCTACGAATTTACTCACGTCACCGTCGGAATATTTATATTCTGTATTTAGCCGAATACTAAAACATACAATGTAACAAACAGGAGCAATTACTTGAAAATATGTATATTAGATAGCCTATATACCTGATTGCAAATAAAGGCCAAACATATCACACCTTCTTCGTGGTTTTGCCTACACATTACAGTGTACTCTCGATTATCCGGAATATAGAGAGTAATTACAAAAAAGAAACACATAATACAAATCAACATACAATTTACAGAAACACAAACAGAAATTACAATAGAAATAATATTTTATTCGTTATGCATTCTTTTTAATAATATGCAGCCTTGGCTATAAGTAAGCAAAACGCTCTCAATTTATTACATTTTTTTGAAAAAAAAAAAAAAAAAAAACAAAACAAAAAGATAATAAAATTATTGATATTATAAAAATATTATTTATTATATATAATAAAACTATTTTTCAATTTAATTTTTCTTTCGAATGGATATAGAATGGATATAGAATGGATACACAATTTGTGGAGATGCTTAATACTTTTAACCAAGGCTGTACATATCGCGTAAAAAAATATTCCAAAGTTATCTCTACACTTTGAATATCAGAATAACGTTTCATTCAATGCAAGCCGCGATCAGACTAGAGATTGAGATTGGATTTTAACCAACTAGAAGAAAGAAAACCAATCTCGAGTTTAGTGGCTTTTGCTTCGATTGGTTAAATTCCAATCCAATCTCAATCTCCGTTTTACTTCCATCGACAACCTGCGAATGTACGGACGATCGAGGGTACAGTGTGCATAAAATACCACCCCAACCAAAGTGTCTGAGCTTCTTTCAGCGTCCGAAGGGTCGAGGCGCCGCGCGGTTCTCCCCCACCCTCGCCCACCCCCCCTCGCAAGAGAGACGCGCGACCACCAGTTGGCTAACCGTTGGCTTGTGTGTGTGTTGCAGCAGCCGAAACCCGGTGAGCCGCTCTACGCGCAAGTTAACTTGGAGAAGAAAAAGAAGCGGCAGTACGAGCTGGGGGTGGGCCAGGGTGGCCAGGTGGGTCAGATCGGCGGCGGCGCCGCGATACCTGGGGGCGGCGGCGGCATAGCTGGACCAGGCGGCGGCGGGGGTGGCCAGTGGGTGCCGGATGGCGTCGGGATGATACCGGACGGTACCGGTGCCACGTCGGTAGCGGCGACGGTAGCGAACCAGGTGCCACCGCCGAGCTCGACCGCCGCCGCCGCCGGCGACTCCTGGGTATAACGGGTCCTACAAGCGGGTCCTACGCGGGACCGCCGGGAGGACCTCGCCAGAAATCACGGCCTCGTCGCGTCCCTCCACGGCCGCGTCGAGCGACCGCCGCCTCTGTCGCCGAACCTGTCCATGTAGCGGAGGCGTATAGGAGGGATCACGTCCCCCACTCCGGGGACGGCGAAGTGACGCCTCCGTAAAATCTCGGAGGATTGAAAGTGTACGAGGGATCGGAGGAAGAGCTTATAACCTGGGACTCTGCTCGATGTAAGGGACTGCAAGATGGACACCCGTTAATTTATTGGGCACACCCCTTCCGGATTCGCGAGAAATCAAGATGGCCGATTGGTGACGTTATGGTCGAGTTGGCTAGGCATAGCCGAGTTGAGGGAAACGTTTGTTGCAGGGTATTCAAGCGGAGATATATCGAGAGTATAGCGATTATATGGAAAACGAGAGAAGTACAGAGATTTGGGGAAGACCTTGATGGCCTCCCCCCGAAATAAGAAAACCCGAGTATGCGCTGTGCTCGGATATATTCGTCGAAAGAGTACGCGCGAAAGTATTATTAAAAATTGGAGAATTACGCGGTGCACTTCCGAAAGATGGCGGCGGAAGAGCGATGAGACATTACGCTTTATCATTGGAAACAGACGTCCATATTATGATTAGGAAGAATCTCGAGGGAATAACGCAGGAAGTTTAACTACGTCGAGTTAATCGAACGAATGGCAGCTGAACTTAGGGTGATAAAGACAGGCAGCTTTCAAGTTGGAAAACGAGGTGTATATTGATCTATTTGAGATAGAACTACGCACGAAGGTGTATATAGAGCTGATTGAAGGACCGACGATTAGACGAACGAGCGGATTAACGGACCGACAACTGGAGGAACAGAGAAACTGTATCCTTTCCGGTGCTCGCAAGTCAGGATACGCTACCAATGCGACGATTGAACGGAAGGTAGGATTCGGACTGAAGCGGAAGCCGAAGATCAAGCTGGAAGAAACCGACCTCGATCACACCCGCCAGGATAATTCGCGCGAACGATCGTCCCGCCTTAGTTTTGACGATGCGAGAAAATCAACCCTTTCCTTATGGTCTCTCCCGCGTCGCATATACGAGCGGCGTTGTTATAACGGCACGAACTTTAAATAGCCAGGAAAGGAGAAAGGGGTCGAGATCAAAGGGACGCGCCTAAGATATAATCGAAACGTTTCTTTGGTACACTTCAATTAAGTATACATGAATTGCGAGAGGAGCTCCTTGCCCGACCTTGAGGGAGCTGGCCTTGACGCATTTTTATCGGAGTCCGAGAACCCCCATCGTCGGAATAATAAAGATCGAGATCGGTAGCGAGGAGAGAAGAGGCAGCGAACGAGTTCACCGAGTAGATCCGGCAAACGCGAGAACGCACTTGCAGATGCACCTGCAGTCTTGATATACGATAATAGTTATCAGCGCGCGAGAGAGAGAGAGAGAGAGAGAGAGAGAGAGAGAGAGAGAGGGAGAATGAGAGAAAAAAGAGAGAAAGAGAGAGAGAAAGCGACGTCCAACCACATCCGCAGCAGTAGTCGCACTAATGGCTCTAATACCTTCATTGCACAATTCTAAATTAATATATATACATATATGTCTGCGTATAAATATATTATAAACACGGCACACGTATACGCACGTACATGTATACACGTACACACACATAAGCCCTAAGTGTATATTTTAAGATGGTATTAGCGGCGGCAAAAGGCGCGAGCGTATACCGATCATCGCGAAGTACTGTGCTAAGAATAAGTTAGGTGTGTCTATATAAGTATTATAAATAAGTAAAGGCGAAGAAGCGCCATGGTGACTTAAAGGGAGGATCATCCACGATTTTTACGCAACTCGATAATTTATGGAAATATATGTATACGTAAAAAATTAAATATAATATATATCTAATATATAACTATAATATATAATTATATTACAATATATAATTAATTAATTTTATACCTTAATTGATTACATT